AATTGCGAGTCTATTCCTACTCTGGATGGTTGTTTGGGTGAATTACTGAGGGAGGAACGTCTTATCACTCGTAACTCTTTGGAACAACATCAAAATTCTACAGCACCGGTTCCTGTTGCATATGTTGCTCAAGGCAAATACAAACCTCGGGATATGTCTAGTGTACAATGTTACAACTGTAAGGGTTTTGGTCATATCGCTCTTCAGTGTCCACGAAAAGTTTGCTATTATTGCAAGAAACCAGGCCATGTCATTAGAAAGTGTCCCACTCGTCCTCCACGCAAGCTTGGCCCAAGTTATGTTGCTGCTGCCACTTTGGTCTCTGGTTCTACTCTGCCATCTGCTCTCGCTCGAGCTCCAGCCTCTCCTAGTTCCTCTCAATCTCCCATCACTCCTGAGATGATTCAGCAAATGGTTGTCTCTACATTGTCTGCCTTAGGTATCTCAGGTAATTCCCAACCTGCTCGTTCTTCTTGGTTATTGGACTAGGGTACTTCTAACTATATGACTTGTGATCATAAATTGCTTAGTAACCTTAGACCATATAATAGACCTCTCAAAACACACTGCTGATGGTAACACACTTCCTATCTCAGTTGTAGGCGATATATCACCCGATTTGCCTAATGTTTTAGTTTCTCCAAATTTATCCACTAATCTTCTATCTGTTGGCCAACTTGTTGATAACGATTGCAAGATATCTTTCTCTGCTTCTGGTTGTCATGTGCAAGATCAGGTGTTCGGGAGGACGATCATGAGGGGGCCTAAGGAGGGGCGTTTCTTTCCTATTTCACCGAAGCCTGTTTCGTCTATTCCCATTTTTTGTAATTCTGCTACTTTAGATGTTTTTGATTGGCATATGAAATTGAGACATCCAAATTCTAATGTGTTGCAACATTTGTTAAATTCTGGTTTACTTGGTAATAAGAATTTTGCTTCGGTTTCATCTGTCTCCCTTGATTGTGCTTCATGTAAACTTGCTAAAAGTAAAGTTTTGTCATTCCCATCTCAAAGTTCTCGTGCTTTGCGTATTTTCGATATTGTTCACAGTGATGTATGGGGTATTGCACTTGTGGTGTCTCATGCTCATTATAAATACTTTGTTACGTTTATCGACGATTTTAGTCGATTCACATGGGTTTACTTTTTTCGTGCAAAAAGTGAGGTTTTTTCTGTCTTTCAGGCTTTTATTGACAATTAGTTTTCCTCCTCAATCAAAATCTTAAGATCTTATTCTGGGGGTGAATATATGTCCAATACATTTCAATCTNCAAAGGTATTATCTCTCAGCGATCTTGTCCTTCTACTCCTCAACAGAACGGGGTTGCAAAACGCAAAAATCGTCACCTTCTGGATATGGTCCGAGCTCTGCTAGATTGATTCTTCTATTCTATCTCCTTTTTGGTGTGAAGCATTATCTACCACTGCGCATCTCATCAAACGATTACCTTCTCCCACTCTTAATAATGTTTCTCCGTTTTATAAGCTTTTTGGTCACCATCCCACATATTCTCATCTGTGTCCCTTGGCTGTGTGTGTTTTGTTCACTTACAATCTCAGGAAAGGACAAAACTCACTCCTCAATCTGTCAAGCATGCTTTTTTAGGATATAGTGGAACCCGGAAAGGGTATGTCTGTTATGACCCTACAACACAACGAATCCGTATTTCTCGTAATGTTATTTTCTTTGAAAAGTAATCCTTCTTTACATTTGCAGCTGAGGTTTCTCCCATGTTTTCTGTCTTACCTGATTTTCCTGCAGAATTCTCTCGGTACAAGCCGAGGTGTGTTTACACTCGCAGGGATGTTGCGTCTATCGCTAGTTCCACACTTCCTTCCCCGACGACTACCCTCACAGGCCTCCCTGATCCTCCACCAACGACATCAGATCCTTCACCGGATGATCTGCCACCTCTTGTCCCTCATCGTCGTACTTTTCGTGTTTCTTGACCACCTGATAGGTATGGTTTTTCCTCCCATAGTTCTATGTCTACTACACATGCTGTAATTTCCATTCCTTCCTCTTACAGATGAGCTATGGAGCAAGAGTGTTGGCAACAGGCGATGACAGCAGAACTTGAGGCTCTTGAGGCCAACCAAACTTGGGTTGTTGTTCCCTATCCGCCGACTGTGAAGCCCATTGGGAGTAAATAGGTATACTCTGTCAAAGCTTCGTTCTGATGGTTCGCTTGAACGCTATAAGGCTCGACTGGTTGCTTTAGGTAACCGTCAGGAATATGGGATAGACTATGATGAGACATTTGCTTCGGTTACTAAAATGACTACTGTACGTCTTCTGTTGTCTCTTGCCACTTCCCCGTCATGGTCTTTACATCAAATGGATGTGAAGAACGCGTTCCTACATGCAGATCTTAAGGAAGATATTTATATGAAACTTCCATCTGGTATGCCTCTTCCATCAGCACATTCTGCTTGTAAACTTAAACGCTCTTTGTATGGTCTTAAGCAGGCTCCTAGGGCATAGTTTGACAAGTTCCACCGCACTCTTTTGAATTTTTCATTTACTCAGGGTCAGTATGACGCATCTTTATTCTTTCACAATAGTTCAGATGGGATCGTTTGTTTGTTGGTGTATATGGATGATATTATTATTTCTGGATCTGATCACATCCTCGGAGACTTCAGAAGCACCTTCACTTGTTTTTTCATATGAAAGATCTGGGTCATCTCACTTATTTCCTTAGATTGGAAGTCCACACAACGCCGCATGGTATCTTCTTGAATCAACATACGTATATTCAGGACTTGATTGGATTGGCTAATTTATCTGAAGTCTCCTCTGTTGATACTCCATTAGAGCTTAATGTCAAATATCGTAAAGATGAAGGCGACATTCTTTCGGACCCTACTCTATATCGGAAGTTGGTGGGAATTATTATCTATCTCATTATCACACGTCCTGATATTTCTTTCGTCATTCATACTGTCAGCAAATTTATGGATGCTCCTCGTCATCTACATTTGGGAGCTGTTCGTCGCATTATTCGGTACCTTATTGAGACTCCTCATCTTGGTCTGTTCTTCCCTGGTGGAACATCTCTTAAGCTTACCGCTTATAGTGATGTTGATTGGGTTGGGTGCATTGATTCTCGTCATTCTACTACTGGGTGGTATGTTTTTCTGGGTGATGCTCTCATTTCTTCTTGGAAATGTAAGAAGCAGAAATGTGTGTCTAAGTCTTCTACTAAGGCTGAATATCGTGCTATGTCAGCTATCTGTTCTGAGATTGTGTGGTTGCGGGGTCTTCTTGCAGAACTTGGTGTTTCTCAGTCCCAGCCTACTCCCCTCTATGGTGACAAAACTAGTGCTATTCAGATTGCAACTAATCTCGTTTTTCATGAACGGGCCAAACATATTGAAGTGAACTGTCACTACATCTGGGATGCCTATGATTCCAAAGTCATTGCCCTTCCCCATGTTTCCACTGCTAACCAGGCCGTCGATATCTTCACCAAATCCTTGACTCACCATCGTCATAACTTTCTTGTCAGCAAATTAATGCTTGTGGACTCACCAGCATCAATTTGAGGGGGGTATCAACGGAATATTCACTATTCAATTTAGTTTCCATTTATAGGTCGCATAGAATCATGGATATTCTTTCCTTGTATAACTTTGTACTATTCTATAAATTGAATGTAATACATACTGAGAAATCATTCAAGCAAAATTGTGACACCATGTACTTTGTTTCCCAATTTCTCAAATTCACGTTGGTAATCTCGGAAGGAACCTATCTGCCGATCCTAGATAATGCTTCATCAAAATCTTTGCACTCCGAAGGTCCAAAGCGAGCCCAAAGTTCTTCTTCAAAACCCTCCCATGAAAGCACTCGTCCCTCTTCTTGGAAAGTCCTACAAATCCATCGCCACCGCCACCACTGATTGGCCTCTCCTTCAAGATGGAAGGAAGCCAAAGATACCTTCTGGTTTTCCGGCTTGCCTTGATACTCGAAGAATTGCGCCACTCGATTGCACATTCGGTTGGATCATCTCCCGTACCTCATAAATTCCATTTTGGCCATCTTTGATGAGAATACTTGTCTCCCACCACCACCGTCCTCTTGGTTCTTCCCGTTGTTTGTGTCCTTGTATGTTCTCGAGAACCATTCCCTTTCATGGTTGTGGTGACTAGGCGATGCCTTGGATGACAACAAAGCTTCCGAGATCTTGTTGATTGTGTCCTCTAGTTGGTGCAGTTTGTCAGACACAGCCAATTCAATCCGTTGCATGCCTTCCTGCAATCCGCCGAGTCCAGCCTCCAAGACCTCAATTCTCTCTTTGTTGGATGTCATGGCTCTGATACCAATTGATAAATCCCAGTTAAAGCCAAAAGTATTGAAAACAATTCTTTCTTTGGATGAAAGAAAACCACGGTTGATTGAATAAATTTTCCATTCCTTTCATTCATGTTCGTTCCACATATATAGCCAAGAGATACAAAAACTAACCAGCAGTTCCTAAACTAAAGGGAGCACTACCTGCACATAACAACAGTAGGGCCTAAACTAAGGGAAATAACAGCAGCAGTAAAGCAAATACGTGCAAACAGAAAAACAGAAATGCAAAAACCACTAGGACCGGGTCTTTTGCGGGACTACGTGGCCTAACATAAACTGAGGGTCTTCATTTAGCTTAAAAACTATATGCCTGGCATGCTTCAAAAATGCTTCCACCATTCAGTGTTAAGTTACGGATCTAGAGTCTGCATTTAGCTTCTTGTTTTTCTTGTAACAGTGCTGCCAGCTTATGCATTTGACAACTCAAAGTTCCCGGGTAATAACGTTTATGAGCTCTAGTATCATATGGAAAGTTAGCTTGTACAGTTTTGGGCCATCGAATTTAATGGTGTCTGCTATATGGTTCAATCAACATATTCAGTTTATACCTTTTTAAACATTCAGTATCATATAACTTACTGTATAGCACTTGTACATCCCACTATATAAAGTGTTTTGACCGGTGAAAACTTACTTCCAGGGTGTTGACAGTCCATGGATCCAATGATAAATTTGTCCATATCGAGGATGCAATGGAGTTTAACAAATTCATAGCAAACCACAGATTACAGATTATAAAAGGAGCTAATCATGGATACACTTCTCACCAAGAACAACTTGCTTCAGCAATTCTGAATTTCATCAAGGACACCCGGCTATGAAACCTTCAAACAGCTCTCTCTTTGTGCTTCTCTACATTTTCATCTGCGTCTTTTCCATCTATTAAGTATATATTGAGCCTAGCAATTCTCTACATCTGTTTTTGTGATTTTTGACATACTGAATTGTGTATATTTTGCAGTTTGATCTGTAAATAATAAATATTGACGAACTGGATTGTGTATTTATGATGCTTTATAAAATATATGTAAATTGATAATTTCTCTTTGCTTGAGATTCATCAATTATGGCTAAATCATCCTGTCACCTCACGATGTTGACTTAACTGATAAGGGATTCAATTGGAATGTAGCAATAACTGCATGGAAAATGCTCTTGACCGGTGTGGCTAAGCCAAAAAGATAATCTGAAATAATTGGTTGAGAGGATGAAGGATGATTATGCTCGAGTCAATCATGACCTATACTTACTGGGTTCGGCCCAGACTTGCATAATATTCCGATTAAGAGCTACATCACCAACTCCTAGAAACCTTGATGGCCAAAAACCCCATCACACACCTTCATTGAAACCTCCAGCTTATTTCTGTTTTAACATCTTCACCCTATGTTGCATAAACACTTTAACTAAGGTAGCATGTCAGTGTCAAACACGTGTTGAATATCGACACTTCTTGAACATTCTATTATGATCATTTTTCTTTATTTGTCAAAAATATTATATATTTTTAACTCAAAGTTATTATTAATTAACAAATATTTACTCATATTTAAAAGATTTTAACCAGAAAAATCGATAACAAGTATAAATTTGAATTTATATTATATAAATGAAGAATTTTAAAAAATTTAATTAATGTATCGACAACTTAACGTGTCAGTATCTTTTTAGAAAATCGCAATTTATCCACGTGAGGGTGTCAACAACCAAAATAGTTTGGATATTAAACCGTCAACATAGGTTATAATAAGTATAATATTTAATAGAGAAAATTACATGAACCCAAGGATTTATGATTTAATTATCAAAAATCGGGTGGTTAAGAAATTTTCACAAAAATCAGGCATTAAATCCCAACATCCCCAATTCATTTCTCTCTCTCTACCCCCCTCTTCTCTCTCTTCTCCCTCTACCCCCATTATCGCCGCCTGCAACCCAAAACCCCTCACCCCCACCACTGGTGAAGATGTCGGAGAAAAGGGAGCGACGATGTACAACACATTCCGTGACGGCTATGTCGTCATTTGTGTCCTTATCTTCGTCAATTTCTCTGTAATTTTGACCGTCGATTTTCCTCTTTTTCAAGGGCTTATCCCCATCGGATGCAGAGGCCGAGACAGTGGGGGAGTGAGCACCGAACCTAAAATGATTTGCTTGTGAATCTGACAATGGGATACCTTGTGGCAATTTTTATTGGTCAATAAGAATTTTGGTGGTTGCAGGTTACGTGCACCAGTACAATTCTTTGGATTCCCAACCTAATGTTTTAAATTCACTATATTCTCCTCTGCAACAATCAAGTTCTTTGGAAGGATTGAAGTGGTGATATCTATCAAATTTATATTTTCAAATTTGAGCCATTGTCTCAGTTTCTCGGAAGAGGTGCCGACAAATAGTATATGGACCCACAACACTGATCGCAACAAAAATCGCACTCAACTTCTAGATCTAACGTGTATGAGTATCTTTCCTTCTTCTTGCCAATGAAAACGAGTGAAATTCCATGCTTTGCTGTGTACTTAGTTTATTGTATTGACTAGACTTCAAGATGCTCTTCTCCAACAAGGTTAGAACTCAATCACAAAATCCAACTTGTAGGCAATTGACTGTAAGTATTCTTAGAAAAAGTGCAAGAGAAGGGAAACAGATTGACAACAGAGAGTGGGAATTTTGTAATGCGACTAATATATTGGGGATGAGAACATATCTTTTCTTCTGCCCACGTCTTTTCTTTTCTTCTGCCCACTAATATATTGGGGATAAGAATATATTGGAGGTGATGCTTAGAGGTGGATTGTGGTGCTTGTCCGTGCTGTAAGCGGATTTGTTTGTTGTGACCAAATATCTATCTATTGTGACTTGTTATGACCAATTGTGACCGATGACTCGTTGTGATCAATTGTGATCGATTGTAACTTGAAATTCTGGAAATTTTTTAGAAGTTGGGTGTAGGTGGATGGGGTGTAATTTCTAATTTTTAACTTTCTGAAAATTTTTAACTCGCCGGAGCGGCCGCCGGAAAAGTTGCCGGAGTGATCACCGGAGCCGATGGCTGTCGTCGTCGGACCGGTGCCGGAGATAGAGGGAAGGTGGTATAGTGGGGTGGGTGAGGTGTCATGGGGTGTAAATAATTAATGTATATTATATTATATTTTAATATTTAATAAATTTATTTACCACCTGATTTTTTAAATATTTTAATAAGTTTGTTATTTATGATAAACTTTAAAAATACGAATTATGTATTGTTCCCTATTTAATATTGAAGAAATTGAATTGGATTGGATACAAGGTTCATTCTGATGCTCTAGTGTTTCAACATCTTGATTTGTATATTTTATTATATTTAGTAGTCATTAATTTTCTATCATTCAACCTTCTTTCATCTATCTTTAAAAAGAAATCTAGGATTAGTTATATTTTCGATAATTAATAGGTTAATCGATCCTCATGCAAAATACTGATATCTTTATTATTTGTTCAATTTGTACATTTACGATTTTGAGACAAAAAAGATGCTCTAATACTTTCTACGTGCATTCATGTAATCAACGATCAACAATATATTAAAAGTCGCATAACATGATCATCATTTGTTGGACGATTTATCCACAAGTATATTGTATACATAAATTGTTTCAATAGCATCCTCTTGTCCCATGAGAAGAGTAGTATGTATTAGACATTATGTGAATCTTTAAATTTATTTCATGAGGTATTTTGAAAATTATTCAATTAATTTAGGGTAAAAACTAATTCTTCAAATTCATGTATAATTTATGTATTTTAAAGATTAATTCATTAATTTAGGTGTCATTATTTTCAAGATTATTCAACTAATTATGGGTAAAAAAGTAAATCTTCAAATTCATGTACACTTTATGTATTTTCAGGATTATTCAATTAATCTAGTATAATACTGTATCAATTCTTCAAGTTCTTCTGTTCTTGTACTTATTTATTCTCAAAAATATTTCATTAAAACAATTAAATTCATTCTTCAAGTTCATGTATATACCATTTTGTCTAAATTAATTGAAAAATTAGGATTGAGCTGCCCAACCTCTTATGATGTGTAATCCATTCTCTCTAACCTTCAAAGCTGAGATTAAGATTTTGATTCTCCAACCCATGCAATCATATGAGATTGGATCTCCATTTGACGAAATCTGTTATTTGATGGTCAAAAAGGCACAATATTTTAAAATGTGTGCCATTAATATAAATTAAAGGGAAGGAGAACAAAACTGCTAAATCTTTCTTTGATTTTTTTTTTTTTTTGTCATTTTAATATTTAGTTCATGTAAGGGCATAAGAGTCATATTACAAAAAATAGACTTATCTGTAGAGGGTAATTATATTCAAACCATAATTTTTATTTCTTACATCATATTTTAATTACGTTTAAAGTTCTTAATATCTGCTAATTGTAACACCTATGTCCCTAATAATTTTTCATGTAATTTGTATTCTCAAACTTTTTATTAATTAACACATTTTGCATTTGATAACAGTTTTATATCAAAAAGTTCGTTGAAAGAGGGTAAAACTACTTATTTTTCCATCATATTTAAAAATAAAAAGTGCGAAAATTATTTTCCACTCATCTCAAAGTATGGAAACAAGATATTTTTATATAAATCATTATCAAGAACGAGACATACTAATTAATAGAATATTGAAAATAAGAATTCGAAAGAAAAAAGTTGAGGAAATAATTGATACAATGAGCAAATATTGAATAGTTTAACGGCAGTTAAAATGTGATACATCAAATAAAATTGTGGTGTCAATATAACCACTCAACTGTAAAAGTAACATATTTCGTGAATTGGGGACCTAATCTCATATGAATAAATAAGTTGGAGAATCAAAACATCAGTTTTGATGGTTAAGGGATAGATATTTTTTTTTTTAATGTAAATTTTTTAGAATGGATTTTGTGAAGAGTAATTTTTTATTTTATTTTATTTTATTTTATTTTATTGAAGAATTTGTGATATAAAAAAAAGAAAAAAAATTAATAGTCCACGTGCAAAATTATTTTATTGAAAAAATGTATGATTAAAAATAAGTTTTAAATGATTGGCAGCGAACAATGCCTTAGGGTGCGTTTGATTGCAAGGGTGGAAAATGGGTGGAAAGAAAATGTTTTACAGAAAAAAAAATTTGTCTAGAAAATATTTTCAAGGAAAATGATTTCAAGTGTGTTTGATTGGTATAATTTTCCACCCAAAAAATTTTTAAATTTTCTATTCGTTTGCCTTTATTTTACATGAAAATTGTCCATTAAAGTAATATTTTTTCCACGATTGGTTATAAAATTTGTTTCCATTGCCAAAAAGGAAAAAAAATTGTTTCCTAAAAAATCATTTTTTTTATTAAAGTTTAGTGTTCATTTGA